TGCTGATATCGGATCGTTAATTCAGTTTTCGATGGTCCACCAGAGACGGACATCTGTGCGTGTATGTTCATGAATGAATTGATGATGATGATGATGATGGTGAGGCTAGTTTTTTTTGAAGTTTGAGTTTCATTTTACTAAGGATTGACTTGGATGTATGGATGGATAGATGAATGAATGAATAGTTTGTTGTGTATGAGAATGCTTGCTTATGCCATGAGCTATATCCATGATATGTCTGACGCCTGGCGTCTTAAATTCGATGATGAATCGTATAACTAATTCTAATACTACTTCTACTTTAGGATACTAGTTTTTCAATAAAATTTACCGCTACATAGGATCTTGGTAGTAGTAGCATTGATTTATGTGATAAACAATATAACTGTGATATTGCATATACAATGGCGGGAAAACCTTGGTATAATATTGTAATTGTAATTGGCCACTACTACTACTAATAACACTGTCTTGACTGAATAATATATATTTGTGTTTGGTTTCGAAATCACTTGGTTAATCAATGAGACATAATAAATGGGGGTGAGAATTGAGCCATGACCATTTTGTTGATCGTCCATCAACTGGATCCATGTGGATTCGATCAAATGGAACAATTTGGGATAGGTTGAAAGCTATTTGCTATCAATGTGTGTGTGTGTGTGTGTGTTATCCGCCTTTTTAAATTCGACCATAAAAACAATGATGATGAAAGCCAAGTCACTATATTGTCACGAAAAAAAATGGAACGAATTCTGATAGAAAATAAATTCCCAAATTGTTGACAATTCATGATGATGATTCAACATTCAGGAAAAAAGAATTGCCAATTAAAAAGGAAACATTTGTCATGTGTATGCGTGTGTGTGTGTGTGTGTGTGACTAACCTATTATAATTGTCAACAATGATGATGGCATTGAAGTATACTACTATTATCACAATTAGGACGATGACAACAGGTAATAATCCATTCGATTATGATGATGACACTACCGATCGACTCAATTGTCATGTTGTCATTGTCATGATGATGATGAAAATCATTAATGTTTGTCGATCCACATACAAGAATAACATAAAAAATTTTCTATGTTAATGAATAAAATTCTAATCATCATCATCATCATCATCATCAAAATCGAGGTAATGAGCCATTCATTTTAAATAAATGATAAATGACAATTTGACTGTGTGTGACTGAATTTTTATCGTTTTTTTTGTTATTTTATTTAGAATCTTGATGAATCAAGGTCAGTGGATTTGTTTGTTTTTTAATTAGTTGCAAGATTCCAAATAGAAAAAATAAAGAAAAGAATCAGATTTTTCAAATAGTTATTGATGGTCAATTAAATAATGTGTAACGGAAGTCGATTAAATAAGCTAAAAATTCAAGATGAGGCAATTATTAAATCAATTGATTGTTAACAATGATAATCTCTTTATACTTTGCTTGATTTTATGTTTTTTATCATCATGTACAGTACGTATGTTATTTGTATTCGATTCAGGTTTAAAATCTTTGCACATTTGTTGTTATCGCTGTTTTCGGTTCATTATGTTTTACATTTCAACAACATTAATGTTAAGTTTTACGTAACGACTTGAATTGGATCGATTCAGCATTCGAATCACTGCATGTAAGTATCCTGTGCCGCACGAAAAAATGAGATTACTGAATTCTTGATCTTGATTCAACTTTTTTACACGAATTGCAGAATAGTTGAGTGGTTTTTTCTGGTCAAAATTATTGGATGCCATATATTGTCATAGAAAAGCGTTTTCTTATTATTACATGAGTTCAACATGAATAACAAATATTTATCGAGACATCGTGCTGAGCACATAAGATGATGATCACTTTTAACAGTGGTTTTCAATCTTTTTATGCTCAGAGATATGTTCCTTAGAAGTAATATATATAAATGATATAATGTACAAAAACCTGCAGTTGAAAACTTTTGACTTGGAGAATTTCTAATGTAATGTCCATTGGTTGTCGTTATTGTCATGAAGATAATTGCTATTGACATATCACCCGGTGTACAAATAAAGTTTTGTTTTAGTTATATACTGTTGTTGTTGTCGTTTTCCGGTTTGAATAATTTCCATTTCGCTTTTGAATTGCATTTGATTGATGGAGTTGTGAAAAAAGTTTTTTGGCCAAGCCAAATCAAGGATTTTGAAATTGAATTTGAATTTTTTTTTACCGACATCTGTTGTTTAGAATGAGAGTCAAGAATAAAAAATATGGTTTCGACCAACAACAGCGAAAAAAAAATAGCGATAGCCGAAAATACGTATACGAAAAGAGCGAAAGTGATCAAACATAGAAGTAGCGCTACTAAACAAGCGTAGTCTGTGAGCTGTAACTTTGACAATGCTTTTGGAGAACTGTTGGCAGCGACATTTCTGCTGTTGCGGTTATAAACAACAACGTTTGAACTTTCATTGTCGATTTATTCCCTGCAATGATTGTGTGTCTTGTCGTTGTCTTTGTTATTTTTGCTTTAGAAAAACAATATTTTTGATTTTTTTTTTGTGTTTTTTTTACGTTTATTTGTGATAAAATGTCCAGCTTCAATAATGGTATGTACAATTAAATATTCATAGACTTTAGTCATCGACATGTGAATCAGTAAACTCAGTAATCAGTAATTGATATAAAGAGAAATGTATGTATGCGGCTAAAAATCTATTGTACAGTTCTTTGGATGACGATAATCATGATAGAATCATCGGATGTAAAAGAGTAAAGCAAATTTATCAAGCATTGAAAGCAGATACCATCAAGGATCATCATCAGCCGAATGGCAACATTTAGACAAGATATTGATAATATCGAAAGATTGGTCACTACATTTTATACATATCCAATTATTGTTTCGGGTGATTTTAATGCACATCATCGTGCTTGGGGTGGTGAGCTTATTGTGGATCTTTTGTGCCGTCTAAATTTGGTGATTTTAAATGATGGAACCATGACTTTTGATAATGGTCGGTGTAAGCAATAAGTTGAATTAGATTTTGTTTTAATTGGACCAATTTCCAATAATTTTGATTTTTCTTGATCAATTTCACTTTGATCTTTTTCAGAATATGAATTAGCTTGACGTGTTGTTGTTGTTTCATTTTTAAAATTAATACAAGCTTTTTTCTCTTTTATCTTATCAATATCGTCCTCATTTTTTGCAGACGCTTGATTGAATTCTTTGATTGTTTCTTTAATTGATTCCGTTTTTCCAATAATTTTCTTAGTTTCTTCTTTCATTGCGGTCTTTTGTGGATTTTGTTTGATTGATTTTTGATAAATTATTATTTCATTTTTATTTTGATGACCAGCCCCAATATGTAGATTAAATTCAAAGATTGCTGATCTACTCAATAATATCATATCATGAGGATGTTCACATACAAAAAATTCCAATTCTGTATCGATCTCACCAATTATAACTTTTGTATTGCAAATATGCGTTGTTTTTGTTTGTGTACCAATAGTTTTAATAGTTTCAACATGATTTGTGATTGAAATATTCAATATTTTACACATTTTTGGTGTTATGATATTGATGTTTGATCCAGTATCCAATATGAATTTTTGCTTTTGGCTATTAATCATTCCATTAACAGTTATTGGCAACAATAAATTTTCTTTATTATCATTAATTTTCTTAATTTTATTTGCCATCAAACTTTGTTTTTCAAGACAATACAAGCCAATTATTGATTCACAATCACTATCATTTGTGGGTTCATTTTTTATTTTTCTTGCAAAATAACTTGTATTTGTGTCACTTGTCGATGGGTGTTGTTCTTGTTGAATAGTTTCTGATTCTGTTTCTTCAGGTGTTGTTACCAAATAATTTTGTTTAGGCACAACAGCCAATTGATTTTGATTTTGAAAATTTTTGTTTTGATTATATGTTAACATTTGTCTTGTTTGTTGTTGGCGGTAGTTTGGTGATTATTTCTTTTTTCAATCTGTGTATAATAAATGCATCAGCATTTGCCACCAATAGTTTTTCGTGAGCATCTCTTGCTGTTGTCAATAGATTTTGGGTAGATGCTAAATCAAAATCAAATTTTATGGATTCTTCATTTTTTAAATTCGTTTAAAATTCGTTCTTGCATTTCAAATTCATCATAAAAATGATCTTTTAATGTTTTCTTTACCAATTCATAATCATTACTTTTCAATCCTTTTAACGTTTTTCGTGTTGAAGAATCTAATTTTTCACGAATTATTATTATTTTCATTTGGTTGGACATACCACTTTTATCCAATAAACTCACCAACGGTTCGAAAAAATCTTGAAATTCCAGGAATTTCCCTGAAAATTGTTTTATATATTCCAATTGTTGAAAAATGATGAAAAGAAGACCATAAAATGTTATTATTGTGATAAATTGGGTCACATTAAGAAGAATTGTCACAAATTTATGAACGATAAGGAAAATGGCAATGTTAACGACGGTGATTCAAAATCAAAGTTCGTTACTGGTAATGCAGTGTTGGCCATTGCTAAAGAATCTGATGTAGAATTGTAAGTTTGTTTTTCTTGATAAGAAATTCCTTTTGAATAATTGAAATTTTCTCTTTGCAATAGAAAAATGGAGATTGTAAAACTTAAAGAAGATATATATCCACATTAAAATATTTTATTGTAATGGGTCTTCATTGGGAATCGCTAATACGCCTCTTCCCTTTCAGTCCATGATCGCGATAAAAACCGGTCAATACCAATACATTGTTATTAGCGATTATAGACGGGAATAATACTACCGCTCTCCGGTTTTTAGCTGTTGGAATTGTTGAAAGAAAGATTGTTTTACTGTTTAATGTCACTGTTGAGCGTATTTAATTAGTACGATCAATGGTGTAATAGTTCTATAAATTACGCATGTTTACCAGTTATTCATTATTATTAAAAATCATTTATACCATTCTAAAAGCCTATCTATTGAATATTATATACATATTGAATCAATACTTCCAGGACTCTTCTTAACATTAGCCATCTTGAAATATGCCCAGAATGTGATCATGGCCACAACCGAAAGAACAATCCCAAAAACCAGAAACCTTCGTCATAAGAGTTTTTGTTGGCCATCTTTATGATCATTGTTGTTGTTTCAGTCTTTTTATCATCATCACTGTACGTGGTGATATCGGTCACGGTATCTGGTCCATCCATCTATAGCTAGTTGATATTCGATAGAATTTACCATGATCAAAAACATTCCACGAACCAAAATGAGTATCAGAATAAACTTGGTCATCTTGTCCTTTGTCTCTCTTTTCTTTTTTTATAATTAAACGAATGTAAGAAGAAAACCATGATAATGCAATATGATGGTGTATGATCAAGTCAGTGTGCAGATTTGAAATGAGACGTTTTTTCAAACAAAACAAACAAACGACTAGTTTTGGTCAGATTTCAATGACAAAATCAATCCTGAAAAATATGAAAAATAATATAGTAGTTTAATTTAATAGTTTAAATTTTTTCTTACTTTTCCCTGACCCAAGAAGTTGAACTTTTGATCATTTTAAGAACTCATGTCCAACCATCATTTATTTGTGAAAGGCATTCGGCCTTTTGAATTAATGTAAACAAATTGGATCCATGAATTGTTGACTAGAAAATATTTTAATAATTGACACAAAAAACAAATACATGCGATACCGATCACGCCTCAAAGCACGATTCAATACACAACGTTGACGCTGATATCTTCGTGGTAATATAAATTTTTTAAGATCAATAATTTTGAAATTAATTCCCTCGACAATTTTTTTACTTGTCACCGCACCTTTCAAACAGCTCAAGGTCTGATTCGAGTCTACCAATTGATTGTTAACAATTACCATCTTCTGGTTCAATAATACAAACATATCCAGTTTTTTCTTGATTTGATCAGATTTTGAGAATTCAGTAAAATTTTATTCGATAATGACTTATTGAGATTAGATTAGATATATTTCAAGCTTTGCCGATGCCACCATTGAATAAGATGTCTTTTGAAATTATTAATGCTAGTACTAGTATTACCATGAATATGGCCCAAATTTTACCCATTTTTCAGAATATTCGACGTTTTTTGAAAAATTTGTTTGCGCTCGATGTTGACATGTTTGCAGTCATGCTCAATATGTGTGTGGTTGCCGCATACCAGCGTTTCCCAAACTTTTTTGACCACGGTCCGGTAAGAGATTTTAAAATTTTTCGCGACCCACCTTATGAAAAAAACATTTATTTACAAAACAAATTTTGGATATTCCTGGATATACCTTTTGACAGCGCAACCAAAAATTAATTAATGGTGCAGTTTCAAACACTTTTTTAAGATTAATTAAATTATCATCGATGAAATTTCAATTAAATTATCAACTTCTTGTTGACTAAGATTAAACATTTCTTCCTTTTCAATTTCGACAGAAAAAGGATCTTTATTGCTCATATTATTTGATGGAATACCCGGAAAGTAGTCTTTAAAACTATTTATTAGCATCGAAAGATGGTCTTGAATTGAAACTGATAGTGTTTCAAGATGTGAATCTTCTTCATCGTAGTTTGAATGGATTTCAATAAATTTATGTAATGTTTCAAAAGATTTAAAATTTCCTTTTGAAAGTCGTGGCTTAATTATTGCAGCGACCTTTTCTGATACTTTGAAGATATTTAAACCAAAGCCTTGCAAATTTAAATTCAATTCATTGAATTGACAATAGTAATCCAGCTTTCACACGGCGATAGCGGATACTTTTAATTGCGTAGATCGCACAACGCACTAACGTTGCTATGAAAGACCACAAATATGTACTTTGGCACTATTCCTAGTGACTAACCAACTAGTAATAATATGAAACAGAACATTTTTTTGTGTTTTTACAATTTTTGCCGCGACCCAGCTGAAATTTTCTGCGACCCAGTGCCGGCTCGCGACCCACACTTTGGGAAACTCTGCGCCGGATACTATATAACAATATTTCTTGTAACAAAGCATTGAATTAGCATCATTCTCACTGTAATGGAACCGTGGTATGATTTTTTACACTTTAAATCGCTTCCGTGTATCCATTTCGTATTGTCCGGTGTCGGCCGGACATATACTAAAATTGGAACGATACAGAGAAGATTAGCATGGCCCCTGCGCAAGGATGACACGCAAAATCGTGAAGCGTTCCAAATTTTTTATTTTTTTTGATTCCGAACTTGTTCAAGTAATTTTAATGTTTCCGAACCCCAAACATTAATATGTCAATTTGGACGGGAAAGCCAACTGATTCAATTGTACGATAGCTGATTGATTGCATACTGCATGCGATAAATTCAGCCTCGGACGTGTTATCCACCACCATTTTTTTGTGTTTTAGTACGCCACAATATAAAAAAATCAAAAAAATAAAAAAAAACAAAACAAAATAAAACAATCATACCCGACATCAAAGGATGCGAAGAACATCCGATTGATAAAACAAAACAAATTATAATTCTGAAATTACTATATAAACGAATCTAAAAGAATAATAAAGTACGATAATTATTGTTGGTGAATTTGAGTGAGAACGCAACAAATTGGTTTGTTTGCGATAAGCCAGCAAGATATTTGCGTTAAAATCTCAACACTGTAATAATTGATCGTCAAAAAAAAAATTATAAGTGAAATTTATAATTTGTGAAAAAAAATAAAATAAAAAAAATTATAAAATTGCTTCGGCAATCATCAAAAATCAACAAATTGCTTCGGCAATCATCAAAAATCAACAAATTGCTTCGGCAATCATCAAAAATCAACAAATTGCTTCGGCAATTATCAAATCAACAAATTGCTTCGGCAATCTCAAAAATAAAATTGTATTGACAAATTAAAAATCTTGAAAATAAAGTTGCTTCGGCAATCGTGAAAATATAAATAGTATTATCAACTTTATTGAAAAAAAATATATATAAAAAAAACAAAAATGACAAAAATTGAAGAATTTGAACAAGAATCAAAAATCACAAAACGATTAGAATTCTTGGAAAATATGAAATCAAAATTGAGAAAAAAAAATCACCGAATTTCATAAAGAAATTAAAAATAACACGTTTTTGAATACTGATCTAATTGTAAAAACACATAAATTAAATGAAGCTATCGTCGAATTTAATGAAGAATTGACAGAAATTGTTGATTTATCGAACAAAAAGGAAATAGCAATCGATGCAGATAAGTATAAAATACTTGATTCTGTGTACGATGAAAAATTGAAAGAAATTTCGCAATTTGTTTTCAACTCGGAGAAAAAATTAAACGGGAAAAACATTGACTCAACAAATTCGCAACAATCAACATCATCAGTGATTCATGACAAAAGAAATAACGTTGATTCTTTAGCAATGGCCAACACTGCATTACCAGTAACGAACTTTGATTTTGAATCACCGTCGTTAACATTGCCATTTTCCTTATCGTTCATAAATTTGTGACAATTCTTCTTAATGTGACCCAATTTATCACAATAATAACATTTTAAGGTCTTCTTTTCATCATTTTTCGTTGTTGCCAGTGTCACTGATTTATTCAATGTATCATTTGATTGTTTCACAACAGAATTACCAGATCCACGATCTTTAATTCTTTGACGTAACAACGATTCAATTTTGAATCAATTTATTCATTGTCCATATTGAATTCAGACATCACTGTTGTAGGATTTGATTATACAACAATAGTGTTTGTACAATATTTATTAGAGTAGCGTTATTAGCTACAGTTAACATTTATTTATTTATTAAAATTTGTTCATTCTTTATTCGATTGATTCTTACTACAACAATCACCCGAACCTGACTAACAATGTCTTGATGTTCGGGAGGCAAAATAGCCAATACACGTTGACACAAGTCGATTTCATCCAGACCACTAGTTTAGTATTGATTTCACGAATTTTGCCAAAGAATGATAATTGTTCATCAAATGCGATCGTATGAAATTGTCTTTGAGCGCCATAATAATTGCTGATTTTGATCCTTCATACTTATTACGTAATAGCTCAAGCATATTCTCAGGATTTTCACAGCTCATAACCATGTTAGCGTCTTGTTCAGATAAGGTGCCCAAAATGATCGCCATTGCTCGACCCGTATCAGCTTCTTCTTCAGGAGATCCCGGCAAGGTTCCCGAACACTATTTCCAAATCTTCAAACTAATCATTGTTAGTTCCACCGAGCGAATCCATAGATTCAAATCAATTGATAATTTAGGAATAGGAGCCACAGATGCGAAATGATTCATTTTAATCAATCAAAACCAAAGATTAAAATAATCACAAAAACAAAACGAGCAATAATAATTCAAAAACACAATTTTAAAATAAGCCACGTGGAGCTGAGCCCATAACCTGTAAAAGTTAACACAGCAAAAGATTGGTTTATTTAAAATGTGATTTTAATATCATTCTGTTTTTCGATATCTATTTTCCAGATCAATCTGTTCCCGTTTCAATTGTTGCATGCTTGCTTCCTTTAACAAAGGTTGTTGTGATTGCTGTAATTGTTTTAATATGGATATATCTTCTTTAAGTTTTGCATTCTCTATTTTTCTATTGCAAAGAGAAAATTTCAATTATTCAAAAAGAATTTCTTACCAAGAAAAACAAACTTACAATTTTTCCATCTCGACACGGGATTTTTTATTGTTTAAGTTGTTCATTAAGATTTTTATTGTCTTTTTTTATATTGCAAAAAAAGTTCAATTATTCAAAACGAATTTCTCAATTTTTTTCAGATCTCAGATTATGAAAATTGTTGAAGTAGTTGTGGATTAACATATGTAGAAAAATAAATCAATAAACAACAGTGCAGACGCTGATGAGTTGGCCATGAGTCCAAAACCAGCATGGTCGGCAAGCCTGATAAGCCGAATATAAGCAGACCGTTTGAGCTCGATTTCGATTATGTTTGTGGCTGACACAGTCAATTTTTGTTAAAAATTATGCTTGTTATTATCTAATTTGGAGATGACAATAAATGTGGTCTTTGGACCTAGTTATCCACAGCTTGGGCTGTGTCTATTTGTACACATATAATGAAATGCAGACTGAGATTTACGAAACTAGACCATTAAATCTGCATAAATCCATTAGGTTTGTTATAAATATAACTTTTATAAATAATAATTTTTGCAAACAATATATAAACTTTACAAATATTAATTTCTTTAGCCTCTACAAAAAGGAATCGGCCAAACTATCAAAGAAAAAATATAAAAGCCCGTATGGCATAAAGCGAAAATCATGTTTCGACGGTCTGGGTGTGAACATATTTCAAATTTCACCACCAGACCTATTCCACGATATCGTAGAATGGTTTGAGCCCAGAATTTCACAAATATTGCTAAAATCAGCATCTGTGTCTAGAACACAAATCAAAAATAAAATAAAACAGATTAACTGGATCAACGGTCCAGTCAAAGTCAAAGAGGACTTTTCCCTGAAGGGGAAAGGAACACAAGTATGTTCTTAGATAAATTATTTGATGAAAATATAATTTTCTTACCTATTTCGAATACCAGAAATTTGAATTTTTAGTACGAATGATGGAAATTTTTCCCGAATGGATAGAATTTCCACCAGAAATTTACCTTTCATTGAGGAAGGTGATTTATTAAATTTTTTCACCTTCTTCATTCGAAATGAATGAATTTAAAAATGATATGCAAAATCTGGTCAGGGTATGTGTCTTAAATATTTTTTCAAATGCTTAAAAAATTAAATGTCTAATTTCAGCTATGCCGACCCCATTTCCAATTTGCGAAATGGTGACAATGATGATGATTATGATGATGATAGTGAAGAAACAGAATCCAGTTCATAAGTAGAATGGAATTCCACTGGCTATGAGCCAGCAGTAAATCATGAAGACTTCGAACTCGGCAGATCGTTTTTTGACATCGTCAAAGACGAGTTGCCATCGGAATTGTATTCGAAATTCATTGAATTTTGCAAATCGATAAATAAGTGTCGATTACAATTCCATATAACACAAAAAGCCATATCATCAGTGCACGAAGCACATAAAAATATATTTGAATTGGATAGTAAAAAATCAGAAATTGCAGAATTTCATGACGAAATTCGTCAATTCAATATATCTGCAAAAAAAATTCTCTGAAAATTTACCGCCATACGTAAAATCAGAAGAATTGAAATTGACCAGTAATTTAAAAATGTTAAATGTAAATTTCAACTAATATTTTTTTTTTATTTGCAGATGGTAAAAAATATCATTACATTGGCATTGAAAAAATTTTGAAAACACATATTATCGACGACAATCTAATCCGGAATATTTTTGATGAAAATCAAGAAAATTTATCAGAATATGTCCGGAAAAATGGCTATCAAAACAAACTGCGGATTGTATTATCCGGAGATGATTTTGGCGTATCGAATCCAATTGGAGGAGCTGAACGTAAATTGTTCGCCCTTTATATGGACACAGATAACGCCAAAATTTACAACACTAAAGCTAATCAGCTTCCATTAGTGTTGTTATGCGAAAGATCGCATATTACTGACTTGAATGAACTATTCAGTCCAGTAAAAAGAGATCTTAAACGACTTATGGTAAGTTGTTACAAAATTTAGTAATTATTAGTTTAAAAACTTTAAATAATTAGGATAATGGCATCACTGTTCAGTACAATGGTATTGAAAGAAAATTAGAAATATGCCTGGCTTACGTTTTGGCAGATAATTTGGGCGTATGTGAAATGTTAGGCATGAAAAGAAATTTTTCAAAAGGCTTTATATGCCGGTAAGTTGAGCTTTTTAATTTTTCCGATTTCAAATTGTGAAAATTGAAATTTTTTTTTCAAGTTATTGTGGATTAACGTATAACGAAATGCAGACTGGGATTTACGAAACCAGATCATTAAATCTGCATAAATCCATTAGGTTTGTTATAAATATAACTTTTATAAATAATAATTTTTGCAAACAATATATAAACTTTACAAAATATTAATTTCTTTAGCCTCTACAAAAAGGAATCGGCCAAACTATCAAAGAAAAAAATATAAAAGCCCGTATGGCATAAAGCGAAAATCATGTTTCGACGGAAGTAAAACAGCCATCACAACGCCATTCGGTTTATATGAATATACCAGATTACCATTTGGACTACGAAATGCTCCGAGTACATTTCAACGGTTCATTGATATCGTTCTTAGAGATCTGGATTTCGTTTTTGCCTATCAAGATGACATATTAGTAGCATCTAAAAATGAAAATGAACATGTAACACATCTTGATATATTGTTCAACAAATTAGCTGAATTTGGTTTAACGATTAGCATGGATAAATCATCATTTTTCAAAAACGAAGTAAAATTTCTTGGTCATAAAATATCGAAAGACGGAATCAGCGTATTGGAAGAAAAATTAGATGCCATCATAAACTATCCCGTACCATCAACAGTAAAAAGTTTGAAAAGATTTCTTGGTATGGTCAACTTTTATAGAAGATTTATTCCTAATGCAGCTAAATTTATGGTATCGTTATATGATATGGAAAAAGTAGAAGGAAGATTTGAATGGTCAATTTCCTCTAAATTTGGAATAGCAAAGATTTCGGCACTGGCAATTTTCATCTGGGATATTAATTTCATTGTAATTCTCTTTATTCATTTCCTGTTCCATCTTTTTTTCGCTTTCTTCGTAAATTTCCAGGTCCGATTCCAATTTGGCAAAGTTAAGATTGTCAAATGATCGTAAAAATGACAAACAAATTATGTTTTAGATGCTGTTTAAATTCTTCCACTGTTCTTAGTTGATTATCTGAAAAAGAACATGAGATAAAAAACAAAATATTCTCAAAAGCAAAAACCGAATATTCACCATTCATATACTTGATAAAAGAAATATAGTCTTCACTGGACATACAAAAATCAATTATTGATACCATATTATATTCGATGTATGATCACACAAATAAAGCGAAAAATATTTTTTGATTATCAAATCCGTTAATTAGAATCGATGTTGTCAATATTATTGGATTAAAAAAAATGTAATCGATCTAATGTTATCAATCTTTTCAAATGATGACGAAATAATTTTTTCAAACGACGAAACATTCTTTTCAAATGATGAACGAACGATTTCTCCCATATTGCAGCAAAATTTAACGACATCGAATTGATGGACAGTAAGCAGCACACAAAATTTTGTGCTTAGGGCATATTTTCATCTCATTATTTAAAAACGATTAAGAACTTCATCATCAAATTTTTTATATATTTTGAAGAGTGAAGACCTTCTTCGAAGTATTATCATCGTCGAATACTTCATACCATATGGTTCCTTTGACTAAAATTTGTTTTGTTTCATGGTTAATTAGAAATTTTGTTCCTTGAAGCCATATTTTTGGACGATACCCGGGAACAAGCACTCTTCTCAAGACATTTTTGTCAAGATAAAAATCGCCTTGATTCCGGTTTCCATTCACGAATCCATGAAAGGTGTATGCATCATACTCCTCCACGGTTGTTTGCTTGATCCATCCTTCTTTTGAAATTTCCTTTCCAAATGATGGTAATGTTTATCTCAAAGCAATACGGCAATTCAATGTAGCTGCTGGAGATTTCCAGCAGCCCATTCAGCTGCCGTATCTTTTTGAGATTTGATGTACACTTTCATATCTGATAGATGATGAAAGGTATAATGGGCCAAATCTCTTCATATTATTTGAATAATGCAACAATTTATGAAGTTTATATGTTACATTAAATTTCAGATATTTGTGTTGATTGCTAATTTGGACAAATGAATCGATAATCGATTTGCTGAACATATCCAAATCTTTCAAATCGTTGGAATTAAACTGTGCCTGCCTACACAATAGGAAAAAAAACAGTTGATTCATAAAATTGAATTATGTCAATTTCACTGTCGCAAATTTTTTCAAATTCATCAAAAAAGATTTCGGGCAATCTCATGAAACTTTCAAACTTCTATTGAAAAAAATGAATTGAATAAATATTAAAATTTCAAATGAAGGTGAATAAAACAGAATTTACCTGAACTCCATTTACATTTATATTTAAGAATTTATTTTTGAATTCAGCCGATATTTTTCCATTATATAATGGAAAACTTCCAAGTCGTAGGGCAATAGTCTTGGTTGATAAATTCAAATTTTCTTTGGATTTTATAAGGGACAATAAAAAAAGGTTCATAATTTTGACAATTGGACCCTCTAAATTTACAAATTAAGTTAATTAATGGATTAATGGAATTCAACATGATGAACATACCGAACAAGTCGTGAAAAATATCGGGGGTGATATATTGCTGAGAGTAACCCCTTCCAATTGGGTTAAAATACAGCTTCTGAGGGCCATATTCATTACGCCTGATTTAATCAGACTGTTCTAATCGGAATTCAAAATGCCATGCAAACGTGAGGTTGAATGATTCTCACGTTTGGCTAAGCACTCACGACAGAAGCTACTTTTAGCGAATGCCATAGAAAAACCCAGGATCTCATTTTGGGCCAAATTGTCGCAGATAATTTTTGAAAGTGTTATCTGGACTTTGACAATTTCACCATCATCTTTGGTAATTTTCATGCCGGATTTTTCTAATTGTTGCATTTCACGAACGAACGGCTTCAATATCATGTTCATTGAATCTTTTATTCGTGTAATCGGTCTTTTAACCAAGAGAAACACGTTGATTTGGTCACGTTGCACTCGTTCCTTAAGTGGTAAATTAGAACAGGAAAGGTAACCGGCAAGAAATTTTTGGCCTTTCTTTCCCATGAAAGAATAGTCATCGAGAGATATTTCTAGTCGAAGTTTACCTTTGAGTCTATCGAACATCGTTTTGTCGGTGGTATCAAGTTCATTATTAATCGTAAAATTTTTTCTTTCGTTTTCAGGAACAAATTGCAATCCTTTTCAATATGGATATTCAAAAGAAAATCAAATTTTTTTCGACTCGATAAAAACCAAATTGCAAGACATTGGGAAGAATTTTCGATTGTGGGTTAAAATAGCCAAATTAAAAATAGCCAAAACTGAAAACAGCCAATACTGAAAATTGTCAAATCGGAAATAAACTGTTTGTCAGTATACACAGAGAGAAAAAATAAAATTTGATTTACTCAATATCCTGTCAATAAACAACGTTACCATTGAATTTGTATATAAACGCTGTTTATTGACAGGATATTGAGTAAATCATTTTCGATGTTTTCTCTCTTTATCCAAACCTCAACTTTTTTCCGTTACTATTAACCGAGACCACCTAACCTAACCTAACCTCATCTTATTATTTATTGCCGGATAAAAAATTATTGTAGCGGTACGTCGTATGTGAACAAGGCAGAATAGTGGAGATAGTGGAGAGCACGTTTTTAGAACTTTCGATGTAGAATGACGTGTGTTTGTTTTCTTTGATGTTGTTTTTTGATTTTTGTAAAATTGTGAATGATATACCAACGTATTGTATGTAATCCATTTTTTAACCATTATAATCTAAAATTTATTATTCATTTTCAGTAATAAAGTTCACAACTAGTTAATGTAACAAATTATCTTTATTTTCTTTTTCTTTATTTTATATTGTTAAATTTTTCCTTCCCGGTTACATGATGTTAATTTAATTTATTGAATTTAATTTTGTATTATGATTTTAAATGATTGGCCATTGCCGATCAATTTTATGTTGGTCAATAAAATAAATTCATTTAAAAAAAACCAACCTAACCTAACCTAACCTAACCTAAACTAAACTAAACTAAACATTTTTTGCTTTTGCTGTTTTCTGCCTTGGATATTTTCAATTTGGCTATTTTAACCCGCAACCGAATTTTCCGTCAAATCCTACAAAACATCATCTGGATGAGGCCAACAACATTGTTATGTTTCTATTGAAGAAAATTTAAAACGCATTTCGAATGACAATGATCAATAGAAAAAAATGAAGTTCAAGAATGTTATCAGCGAAAAAGAAATGTCCGAATGCTTTCGTGAAATGGAACAAGTCAAAAAGTTTCGTGAAGAGCGAATGAAAACCTGGATGTTTATTTTGTCATAAATCTCACCTGACCGATTCGTGTTCATTGTGTGTTTTGGACAGAATTCGCATAGTATCAGAGCAAAAACGTTGCTATAAATGCTTCGATCAAGATCATTTAAGTTATGAATGCAAAAAACCCGACTGTCCAATTTGCGGACAAAATCGTCATGAAGCTGGACATTAAAAAACAACCACCATCACAATTGTTATTAATGTCCATGTGTCAATGTTAAAATAATCACCATCATCATCATGTCAATTGTTTTTATTGAGCATGCATTTTCGCACCCTTTATTCATTATCGTTGTTTGAGCTAAAAACAGGTCAACAGATTCATCATCATCGGCATTATCATCGTTGTATTAACATGTTCATATTTTTAATTGTTTTCATGCATTAAATTATTATTTTCAATAAAGACCTTCAAAGTTATTCGAACCGACCAGTGTTAAATTATCTTTATTCTATCTCTATATATATATAGTAACGTTCGTGCAACGGTTGAGAAGAAGAACTTTATTAGTCAACTAATCAAAGGTTAAACAACAAGTGAGTGTCCAGTGTTTGTGTCATGACCTTATATACATGTCGTGTCCTTTGTGTGTGTGTGACATTAGTAGTAGTGGTGGTGTTGTGTAGTGTGAGTGGTACATGTGTGTGTGGGAGTGCCGCCTACTCCTCCCCCTCAAGACGGAAGTGTCCGGGGTCGGCCGCGGTTTCTAATTATGTCTAAGTCGGTGTTTACAGCCAGTGACTTCTTGATGTGGTTATGATGGATCCAACGGAAGTTACCATTCCTGTCCTCGATTTTGATGTTCGGGTAATTCATTTCGGCTGCTATAAATGGGCCTTTCCAACGTCGGTTGAACTTTTTCGAGCTCCCCATAGTTGCTTCGACCAAATGCCATAGCACTCTGTCGCCAATTTGAATCGGTTCCACTTTCGTTTTTCTGTCATATTGATCTTTTGAAATTGTAATTTTGTACATGATAGAAAATTAAACAAAAATATATGATTGAATGTGTGAATGATATATGCAG